TTAACTGGGACGTGCTTTACCCCAAATAGCACCTATTGGAGTGTAGTTAATCCATTGAGGACTGTGGCCATGTCTTATGTAAGTCTGATGATACCCAATAGGAGGTTCTTGATAAATATTCAATGAATCAATGTACAAATTACTCAGTGGATCATTATCAGACTCTTATTCAAGTTCCTTTTATAAATGTAAAACCAGGTCTGTCTTTTTTAAAAGGATAAAATGCATATGTAAAATGACACATGAATCTCTACATGGCACTTTAAATAAGAGGACACTTACTGAAAAAGTCAACTGCTTGCTCTTTATGCTGTCACCTATCTGCAAAGGAAAGGTCAACAGAAAAAAAATTATCTCCATAGACTTCATTTACTTTTCAGAATTTATGAACTCTTTTAATATAAATTAAACATCAAACATGATAATCATTACTTCCACAGCCAGAAAAATAATCTGAATTTACCACAAGGTGTCAAAATTTCAGCACTCACATAAAAGGGGAAATGATTATTAAAATAAGAACAGTAATGACATTAAGGCATATCATCACATTGTACAGCAAATTCCATATATCTTCACTTTAGATATGTCTTGGGAATTAGATGCTTTGAATATATAATATGTGGTTATATTTAGCCAAACACACACACATTTTGCATTGCAACCAATGCTAGAATCTGAAATGTAATTTCTAAATGGTGCAACCATTTCACAGGTAATTCCAACAATAAATGAAAGTATCTTGCAATTGTGGTTAAGAACAGCCATTAAGATCACCAGAACTTTTCAAACCATATCCTTCTCTGCATCCTCTTAGCTTTTGAGGGTGTGTGTGTTATGGTTTAAATATGTGGTGTCCCCCAAAAGCTCCTGTGTAAGACAATGCAAGAAAGATTAGAGGTAAAATGATTTGGTCCCAAATAAGTGCATTCATTCCCTGATTATGATTAACTGTAGGCAGTAGGATGGGGCTGGAGGAGGTAGGTCATTGGGGACACATCTTTGTGGTACATATTTTGTTAGCTGAGCTTAGTCTCTGCTTCCTGGTGCCATATCTTTCCTCCACCACGCTCTTCCACCATGATGTTCTGCCTCACCTCTGTCCCCAAAGAATGGGGTTGGCCATATATGGACTGAGACAGCTGAAACTGTGATCCACAAATTAAACTTTCCCTCCTCTGATTGTTCTTGTCAGGTCTTTTAGACATATAAGTAGAAAAGCTGACTAAAACAGTTCACTGTGCCTTCTACCAACAACTAGGGAGCATGGCCTCCTATGTGAGACATTTACTGCTGAGTCACAGTAATTGAATGGAGTGTATTCTGTACTTCCTGTGAGTTGCAGAGGAAAGCAACACACACAAAAACCTAAAAAATTGAGTTTTCAAAGATGGCTTAATTTAGTGATGGTAAATAAATTCTAGCTGATAAATCATCAGTTGGTTGTGTCTGAGCAGGTTTTTTAAAAAGTTCTAGTTTTTTTCCTCATAATCAAAGTACAGTGTTTTTAATGTTTATTGAAATTGAGATGAATTTACAGCAAATATGGAATACCATCTCCACTTCTTACTGTCCCAGGCCTAAGTTCATGCAAGTGGACATTGGATCACAGACTCACTTGATTGCAAATGCTTTTAAAGACCCAATATGGGGCTGGAGATATAGCTTTCCTTGCATGCATGAGGCCCTGGGGTCAAGTCATAGCACCACCACCAAAACAAAACCCAATATCCTCTTGGAGGTGGTGTGGCAAAGGGAAGAGAAACCTGTATTTAACACAGGCCCTGGCATTAGTGAGCAGCCCAACCTTGGGCAAGTCACTGGGGGTTTTTAGGCCTAGATTCTCATCTTAACACAGAAGCCCCTCAGGGGCAGATTGATTTGCAGGTCACTACCAAAGAAGATGATTTCTTTTCTTCTTTCTGATTAGTTTGTAATCTATAAGGGCTCTGGTGTTCTGAAGCTTCCAGGTAGTCTCATCAACTCATGGCAATCAATTAAGGCTCATTTTCTAATTTTTATATTTTAAACATAATTATAGGTCTTAAAATGTGTAGCACATACACTGCATTCTGCACAAATGACAGATGCTGACTTTGGTTAACATTTAAAATTTATTATATAGACGTTCTATACAGATTTACTATAAAGGAAATAATCCAAATATTCAATATCAAGGACTTGGTTAAATAAATTAAGATACATTCTTTTGATAACTTACTATTCAATTATTTGAAAATTATGTTTAATTACATGATAAAATACAGAAAATAAAAATGTAGCCGGACATGGTGGAACATGCCTGTCATCTTAGTGGCTTAGGAGGCTGAAGCAGGAGGATCATGAATTCAAGGCCAGCCTCAGCAAAAGCAAGGTGCTAAATAACTCAGTGAGACCCTGACTCAAAATACAAAACAGGGCCGGGCAGTGGCTCAGTGGTCAAGTGCCTCTGAGTTCAATTCCCAGTACTACCCCCCATCCCCCAAAATAAAAGTTTTTTAATCTCTTAGTTATAAAAGCTATATGATTAGTCCTCCATATTCATGAATTCTATACCCACAGATTCAACCATGGATGTAAAATATACAGAATAAAAGAATCCATCTGTACTGAACATGCAGACTTTTCCCTATCATTATGCCTAAACAAGACAGTGTGACAACCATTGCCATTGTACTGGGTATTGAATTAATCTAGAGATGGGTACAGTATATGGGAGAGTATGCACAAGATAAATGCAAATACTATGCTTTTCTTTTTTCCAGTATTGGAGATGTAAGGCACTTAGTTATGTTGCCAGCCTTTTTGAGACAGGACCTACTAATTTGCTGAGACTAGCCTCACACTTGCAATCCTCTTGCCTCAGCCTCTAGTCACCAGGATTACAGGTACGTGCCACCACATCTGTTCTTTTGTTTTTGGAAATAGGGCCTTGCCCAGGTTGGTCTCAAATTCATGAGCTCAAGTGACTCTCCACCGGACTATGGACTATGCCATTTTCTGTAAGATACTTGGACATCTATACATTTTTGTTTTCAAGGGGATCTTAAAACAAATCCCCAAAGATACTGAGAGCTGACTGTATAAATACTTTTTTAAAAAGACAAGAATGTTAATTGTTGTTATTCCTGAGTTGTGGGTTAACGCAATATTTAATTAAATAAATAAATGGAATGGAGAGAGTAAGCAGTGGTTGGGACTGTGGCATGGAGTATCTGTGCCCTGTCAATGGTGTTCAGTATTTTTAAATACTATGAAGGCCACACAAAACTATCAGTTTATGATCCCTGGACATGGGTTGGCCACATTATTTTAGGCAGTAGGCAAATGGGGAGTGGTTTTTGACAAACTAGTATTGAGTGAAAATGCAAGTCTCACAAATTATAAACCAGAAGTAGGAAAATAAATAAATCAACCTGCTTTATTTATTGTTAGAGGGAAGTATAAAGTCAAGTCACCCCAAGGGCAACCATCATAATAAGGGCTCAAGCTGAGGTGGCAGAAAGGTTTTGTGACTATGCTGACAAAAGTTATCACAGGGCTTCCTAAGGTACATTACTCAAGTACGGAGGCCTAAGCCATCTTGGTGTCCACAGTAAATATTTTCAGGGCATAAAAGCAACAGAATTTGAGTTGAATGGGCAGAGGAGGCTACAGATGGCTACAATAGCACAGATGGATGAAAAAACATCAGAGATAGAAGCCAACCAGACATCATGAGCTGCTTCTAGCGACATTTATGAACTGTCCTGGTCTCAGAGTCCTGAAGGGTGATCCTGCAAGTGCCTTGGATGTGCTCAGCATAGAGGACAGTGCATCTTCCACTTTATAACTTTAGACCCAAGTTAGATAAGCCTGCGCAGGAAACCCCCGCCTCAGAAGCTGGACGTTAGTAGTTAATCATTGAAGCCAAGTCAAAGTCAGAATAACCCAGGGCTTTTTTTCCCACCTCACCAGCATCATCATTTAGAAATTCTCAGGTACCAAAAAGTACACCTCATACCTTAGGAAGTAAATAATGGTCAATTCCTAATTCATAAGGGAGCACGCAGCTTAATTAGCCAAACATACTAGACAGACTTAGCTCTCAACTGAGCAACTGCTCTATCTTCACTCAAAAGGTAGTCTGATGCACATATCTTTGAAAGAGGTTGAAATAGACTCATACATTAAGTTTATAATTTGTATTTCACCCTAACTTCAAAAAACTAGTGGCTCTTAGTTATTAAATAAGCATTATTTCTTGTCATTTTAGTTTTTTTCTGGTTAGGAAACAGAATAGACATTTGTGACTATAATGAGTTCCAGGATCCTTTAAAACATAAATTATCTCTTTTTCTACCCCGACCCACTCGCCTACTCCTGAGTCTTATTCCCACAGGAAATAACAGGCTTCCCAAAACATAACCTTCATCTATGCAGAGGTCACGTAACTATTTAATTCACAAAACAGGCTCAGAAGAAGTTGAGACAGATGAAATAAATGGCAAGATATGTCTATAAAAATTCAAGTATCTAGCTCAGGTCCATCACTACACCTTCATATTATTTTTGTCATAACTCTAATATGCTTCCTATCTGGTTTCCATTATTTTAGCAAGTCAGAAGAAAAGAATTACCAATTAGATATGATAAAGCATTTGTAGAGACAGATGAATAATTACAAAGCAGCGGTGGTCAGGGGAAGAGGAAAAGCAGCACAAGTCGGCAGAATGCACGTGCAGGAAGCCTTGGCAGACAAGGTGAGAGGTCAAATGACTCCAATGGAACCAGGAAGAAACGGCTGTGTGACTGGTGCTCTTGAAGATTCCAAACCATCAGTTACACTCTACTCAGAATAATTTATTTAACATAATGAAGGATCTAATATACTTCATTTAAAAAGTAAAATTACTTAAAAAGTATTAACGTTCAAGAAGCTAAAAGATTTCCTCACAAGTCACGTTGAGTCTCATTCTTCTCTAATAGTGCAGAATAAATCACTTTACAGAAGACATACACACATGGAAACACAAATAACTTTAATGATTTTTGGTAAATAAAAAGGAAGCTTAGATATGATTGAAAAATGAAAATAATTACAAGTATATCTATACAATAACTCCAGGTTTCAAGAGCTTAACATAAACCAACTGCTGTCAAGATAAATATTTAAAGAAACCAAAAATATTACTTATTAGAGGAGGAGAAAGAAAGCAGAGAGGGAGAATAAATCTAGAAAATGAATGAAGGAATGTGAGCAGGAAACTCCAAAGTGTTTTCACAAAAAAGGAATTCAGATGCGAGGAACAGATACAAACCTGTCTGGGAATGTGACCTAGGATCATAAGCAACAGAAAGTGACTTAAAATAAGTTATAAATCCAAAATGACAACCGAATCCCAGAGTATAAATTATTTAGGCCAGACATTATCCAATTCGTCAGATTCATTTGGTGCAATGATGTTCATCATTCTCCATCAGAATGAAATGTGGAACAAACACATTAATGGCCGTAGAAAGAGAGAGAGCTTCAGAGCTAATTCACCCTGTAATGTCAGGGTCAGAAAAATATTATTTTTGTTCACCTAACACATATGTTGACATGAAAAAAGTAATATGTCAAAAAAGGAACTGACATAAAACATATCTTCAAATTATCAGCAGAATCTCCAAGTTTCAAATAAGTGGTCTCAAATCTTGATTAGCCTCATAGATTCTCAGTATTTAAAAATTAGGAATATTATATTCCACTGTTATCAAACTGTTCTCTTTGGCTTGTGAGACCAAAGTGGCAGTCTCATAGCATCTCCTTCTCCAAGCCTGTAATATTTTAAGTACATTCAATTTCTAAGAAAGATTTCATAAAGAATCCTGTTTTTTCTCCTTTTTCTTTTGAGACAGGGTCTCACTAAATTACCCAGGCTAGGCTGGCACTTGAGATCCTACTGCCTCAGCATCCTGAATAGCTGGGATTATAGGTGTATGTCCCCATAACAGGCAAAAATTCTGCTTCATAAAAAATGTTTTTAAATCATGTATTCTATTCAGACTATATAAAGCAAGCTCCCCAGGTTGGCCCTAACCCTGACCACTATGCAAAACAGACTGTTTTGGTATCGGGAGCAATCCCTTCTCATGCTTACCTATACATTTAATGCTATGCCCTTTCGTATTACTTGGGGGGAAAAATCCATTCTAAATCAAATAATCTCCAACTTTTACCCTACATGCCAACCTAAAATTTTTATTTAGACTGGGCTGGGGGTGTATCTCAGTGTTAAAGCACTTGCCTAGCATGTTCAAGGCCCTGGGTTCAATTCTCAGCCCCGCAAAACAAAAATAAAAACAACAAAACACAAAAAATTATTTTAGCAATACCTAGCAAGGTCTTCCAGGAAAAAAAAAAATACTTCTAATCTAAGGTAATGACATCTGATTGACAATTTTGTGGATTGGTGGCACCTTCTAAGGAATGCTGACACTAAAATATGTCAGAGAAAATACTCTATATACACATAGACAATAGATAACAGATAGCAGATAAACAGTTATAAAGTGATAGTTAACAATATGTACAACAGGTTTAACATTGATTTTCACTACCCAAAAAACAATGCTGCCATGGTTCAAAGCATGATTTCCTGATGAATATACAAGATTTAAAAAGGGATAAAAATTAAGAAACAGATATTCAAGAAAATTATAAGAAACTAAATACACACAATATAAAATGAAGACAATTGCAGATAGAAGGATTTAACACCTATGATGGTATATTTAGACCAGGTACTCTCTTTTAAATGCAGAAAAAAAAATCATTTGACAATATTCTGCTTAATAAAGGATGGAAAGTAATTTTTGGTGATGTCAGGTGTGGACTTTTTACATCAAAGAATATTAAAAAATTGAGAGTATGATGATATCATTTACAGATTTAACCAACAGTTATCATAGTCTCATTAATCTTTGACAGCTGATAGAGTAGAAGCACATGATGAATCAAAAACAGGCATCTTAAAAAGAAAAAAAAAGTGTTTTTCAATGCTAGGGAATCAAATCCAGGGCCTTGTGCACACTAGGCAAATGCTCTACTACTGAGCTACTGAGCCACTGAGCTATAATCCTAGGTAAAGAAAGAAAAATTCTTTAAAAGTGGTCCCAGCATCTAAATGCTAAATACAGAGTATGAATTCCTAATCTGGAATCTTTTTTTTTTTAAACTAAAAAAGTAGTAGTAGTAATAGTAGTAGTAATAATGTGAATGACTCTACCTATCTGTAAAAATGTGAATGATCAAAGATTGTGCTAGGTTCACACAACTGTGCAACTTCAATTTGAAATGTTCATCTGGTATGATATTCAGCTGTCAAGAGGAAGCAACTCAAAGGACATCACACAGTCTATAAACCAGCTTGAAGGAGCCATCCAGACTTTGCCCTGACGAACCCTTTCTGGGCGATAATTAGACAAATCCTCATAGATGATATACTGTGTGCAGAAGCGCTGATCAGAATCGGGCTTGGCATGGTACGCAACTGTATTGATGGTTTGAGTCACATCACTGTCTGGCTTAGGTTTTCTACTGAGGATCTGGCCCCCTGCTGCAGTGGCAAGCTTTATAAGGTTGTCCTTTGGGTGATGTTTGAAGGTTCCCCCAAAATAGAAGTAACATCCATCAAATAGCTTTGGCAACTGAAATAACAAGGAAAATTTTGTTAAAAGCTGATTGAAATATTTAAAAACACTGCACAGGAATGAAGGATAAAAATAATAGTCAAGAGCAGCTAAGATACTACTTAATGAGATGCTGGTACAAGCTGTATTTCAACTGAACTAACTGGATCAAGAAAAATACTTATGCAAATAACGGTTTCCTATTTATAATTTTTTCTCTAACCAATCAGTCACTACCATCTCAATTCCTTTTCACTCTCCTAAAAGCTTAAGTGTGTTTTGTATTTTTTTAAACAATGTTCATCAAACCTCTTTTATCAGCATACTTAGGCCTAGAATATCTGAGATATGCTTCAGGGACACTGGACTAAACTATAAAGACCATCCAATTCTGCCCACTCATATCAGATCCCTGCATAATTCCAACTTCAGATCCTTAGGACAGCCATAGTATAACCTAAGGGTTCCAGAGATTATGAAATGATGAAATGATGAGTAGGAACCCAATTAGTTACACGACATACTTCTGTGTGCTTTATAGAAAAATAGTTTCACAATTCCCTCCACTAAATTTTTTTTGTCATTTCTAATACATTTATATATATATATCAATATGATAATGGAATATTACCCATTAAAACTGCAATATGTAGCAATAAAGACATATGGTAACTAAATCCGAGCAGCAGCTGTAAGTCTTCTTTCAAGCTACTTCCTGTATCTGAGATTTACCTCAGATTCTGAAAGGTTTATGGGAATGTTCAAGATGCCAAAAATCCATTAACAGTATGAAATTATTACCTTCTGGATTTTACTGCACATCGTGATCATCTTTCAGAATCAAGTGCTTGAAATAAGCACAATTAAAATTTTAATCAGTCACCTGTACTTGCTGAAAGGGCAGAAGAAGTTTTTCTTGATGGTGATAATAATATGAAGTCATAATAAGAACAATGAAAGTAGTATGGAAAGAAAAATACCAGCTGTTCTCTGTTGAGCCTGCTTCTCTGTGGGCCTTCAGGAATTTCATACTTTTCTTCCTGTTCACATACTTTGTTTTGTAGAGAGACCTTCACCCCTGACAAAAATACAAGAACAAATCAAAATAAATATTAAGTGAACACTATTTTTCTCTCATTGAAATTAGACGATTTACTAAAGTTTTTTTTTTCCCTTTTCATGGTTGTTCACAGTATTATTCTGAAATAGAAACTTCATTTAGGCCAAAATATAGCAAAAATGATATTCCATATAAAGAAAATATAAGAAATCCTTCCTTCAGGATTAAGCAATGAGTTAGTACTAAACAGTAATTTTAAACTCCTTTGTGAACAATCTAAACCAATGCACTATTTCAAAAACAAGAAAAGATATAAACAGTTTTACTAATAGCAATTACCCAAATTAATGTGAATAAAAAAGTCCATCACACAGCTATTCAGAAGGCTGAGGCAAGAGGACTGCAAGTTTGAGGCCAGCCTGGGTAGCTTAGCAAGATCCTGCCTCAAAATAAATAAAAGGCTGGGAGTTCACTCAGTAGCAGAACATTTATTTATTAGCATGCATAAGGAAGGTCCTGGGTTCAATCTTTAGTACCACAAGGGGGGATGGGGTGGGATGCAGAGGGCTGTGGCATCATTGAGTCCAGCACACAATAATCTGAACTAAGCACTTATCATCTGACTGCTCATTTTGGCTGTTAGACTGCAAAGAATTCAACATCAGGAAAAATGCTTAAGTCCACAGAACCTACATAGCTAGTCATATGACAGAGGTTCGACAGTACCTGTTAAAATAAAAAAAAAAATAAGCAGCGTTTATTGCCTGGGATTTGACATTGAAGTCACTAGTTTAGAGAATATTTGGTTGGGCTTCACAAGAAAAAGAACAGTCTTCTGATGGCTTGCATACGTGTGCTCAGATTCAGTTTATAAAGCAAGGGCAACCAGTGCCCAGCATGATGCTACCTAAAGTCATTCCTCTAATGGGCTCCTGGGAGGAGAAGTCCTAAGCAGGACCACCTGCTAATAGCCAGCACCAACTGTCTAGCTAAGTTTGGAGATAACAGGAGTCTTCGGGTGCCAAAGATCATCAGATGGGAGTACCCAAGCAGCTTAATCTAAAGACCACATCTTAGTGTATTGAAAGGCACCATCAATGGTAAATATATATACATCAATGCCATGTATATATATTTACCATACTCCTAGGTTTGATGGCACAGAGAAAACTCAATTTAAGATTTGAAGTCAAATGACTTTGTTATCCCAATCATTTTCTTTGGAATATTATTTAAACTCTTTAACCTTAGTTTCCTTGCCTATGAAAAGAGAAAAAATGAAACTAACAATATCACCTACTTCATTCACAGAGCTTCTTGTGGATAAAAACGCAAGAAGTGTTCTAGAAACTAAATTGTGTAATAATTACCTTCATGATAAAAATAAATCCTTCAAATCATTTGTTATTTGTCTTTGACATTATTGTGATCAATAACCTCAATTTTATCATTGAGGAAATTCCATGAGGATTTGTAGGAACAAAATTTAAAAAAAAAACAGCATCTATAAGACTTCAGAATTATAGTTCAAATTCTTAGCTATTTTTAAGTTTTTTTTATGTAAAAATGTTGTATCTTTTATCACTTGATATCTACTAGCTTAAAACTTAACCAGAAAAAACTAACAGCTACATAAATATCTACTTTCAATTGTGAATTATGCATATATGCTGGAAACAAATTGATTTAACATCATATTAGAAAACCTGAAAAATGTTGGTGATAAAATTCTGTCCAGGTAATCCCTACTCAATTCAAAAGTAGAGTAACTCCAATGTAGAAGAAGAATCTCTTAGCTTATAAATGGTATATATCTGTAAAAGGGCTCCTTTCTGAACTGAAGGGTGGCCCAGCAACAAAAGATAATCACTCAAAGCATCAGAACTGTCCCAGATTGCATTTGAGTATGATAAAAGGCCTCTTGCCCTATGTTACCTTAAGAGCAAATCTGATGCTAAATAAGACAAACTCAGTGCTTTGCAAAAGTCAACATCTCACTTTAGGCTGGGCTCGACTTTATGAGACAACTCTTTTTAAACTTTCTTCTCTATTATCCTAAACTCACAAAATAATGCAACTTCATAAATGTCTACATGAATCAATCTGTAGAACTTGCAGTAAGAGACAAAAATTGAAAAAACTTAATACGTTTTGAGGAAAAATGGGATATTTGAAACCTATTTATTATATTTATTCCAAAGTCTTCCTTGAACACTTGGATTTTGAAAATATTTAAAATTATGGAATTAAAGACCTAGAAAATATCCTAATGGTCTTGCCTAACTTTCTTATTTTATTGATTTGAAAAGTCAAGTGCAGAAGCATAAAGTGATTTGTTAAGATCACTGGTAATATGGCCAAATTGAAGCTAACTACTTCCTAACCAAATAGCTTTTCACTGTAGTGCTCTTCCTGTACCTTAATTATTAAGTGCCTATTATGTACAAAAGAGTTAGTCTCTGCCCCTAAGAAGGGAAGTGTTACTCATTTTTTATATTCCTATTGTTTCCTGCCACTCTTTAATTCCATAATCTAACTGATCACTTCCATTAAAATCGAAAGGCTTTATTTTAACTGGATGCTTAAAGTGAAATTTTATTGCTTTATTTTCATTTATTGGTAAGCAATTAATCCATTATCAAATTTAGTTTTTCATTAAAATTTGTGCTAAAGATGTTAAGGATGCCACCAAGACAAGCTCAAGTCAAGGTACATAAAACAGCAAAGGAAAGAAAGACATCTGAGTGTAAAATCGTTTCTAAAAATAATGTAGGACCAATTTATCTTCAATATTTAAAATATTCTAGAAGTATTAGTGATTTGGATGTAGGTCTTTATTATTTATGGTATTAAACAACAACAACAAAAAATTCAATGTTGAAAGAAAAAGCAGAATATCAGTAAGAAAATATGGAAAGTCAAGTTTTTTTATTGTTACTTCTCTAGGCACAAACAGTAGAATGTGAACAAAATTTACTTGCTTATTTATTAAGTTTATTGTTCTTACACTTGTAAATCCTCTAAGACAAAACTTTCTTTTTTTAAAAATTTTTATTGTTGGTTGTTCAAAACATTACATAGTTCTTGACATATCATATTTCACACTTTGATCAAGTGGGTTATGAACTCCCATTTTTACCCCGTATACAGATTGCAGAATCACATTGATTACACATCCACTGATTTACATATTGCCACACTCGTGTCTGTTGTATTCTGCTGCCTTTCCTATCCACTACTATTCCCCCTCCCCTCCCCTCCCCTCCCATCTTCTCTCTACCCCATCTACTATAATTCATTTTTCCCCCTTGTTTTTTTTTCCCTTTCCCCTCACTTCCTCTTGTATATAATTTTGTATAACCATGAGGGTCTCCTTCCATTTCCATGCAATTTCCCTTCTCTCTCCCTTTCCCTCCCACCTCTC